TTGTTGACATGAGACGAAAAGTTCTCCTTGTCTGCTTCGTCCAAAGTATCACTAGGCTTTAAGCCACCGTGTCATTGTAGTTTGATAACGCACGTGGTTGAGCTTGAATGCATGGTAGGCCCACATGCATAGCTGCAACCCATTTAATTCTGGATTAGCGGTACGATGCTCGATCAATCTTCGCTTGTGCTCAATTGTTAGCCGCCGCCTCGATGACGGCGATGGCATATGACCAAATGTTATGGTCAACACGCGTTCCATCAATATTGCTTTGAATTTTAAAATACCTCTCTGAATTTACTAAGCTCCAGGACTATACATTTTCGAGGGATATTAAATTATGGTGGGTCTCCTAGTGCGGGGGAAATCTGTACAAGCAAAGAGTGACGGAAAAAATACAGTGATGCCCAATTTTTGCACGGCCTGATTCTCATAAAATATAAAAGGTATTGAATTCAAAAGGATCGAACATATATCAACTTTTCAAGTTACTCATCTTACTCATCACACAGCACGAAGTCCACTGACATGGCGGAGCCCACGCGAAGGCTACCTAGATCTGCCATTAACGATCTTTGAGGTATGATTCCTGTGTGAGCCCAGCAGTTCCTGATGGTGGATGCTGAAACCTCATCCCATGCCTCTGTAGCCCAACGCATCGACTGAAGCACGTCGCAAGCGTACGGGTTCTTTCGTTGTTGTTCGGTCACAGCCCCACCAATTGTAATGCAGTCAACAATTTCAATTGCACGACTCAATTGACGTTGCTTGTAGTACGCCTTGAAAGTTGACATTATCCCGACGTCCATAGGTTGCAGAGCTGAAGTGGTGTTGGGAGGCAGCATAACGACACGGACGTTGCTGACATCGGCCCGTATAATCTGGTGTGATGACGCATTGTCCAGGAGTAATATAATCGTCCAGTTTTGTCCCTTCATGCTTTCATTGAGTTCCAAGATCCATTCGGAAAAGAGAGCAATTGTCATCCATGCCTTGCTCCGGTAGTAAAGACTCAATTCAGTGGCGGTAAGAGTTCCAAAGCATCTTGGCCGTTCTGCCTTTCCGATGAAAAATGGAGGGAGCTTGTGAGAAACGTCAGCGTTTGAAGCAAGGGCAACCGAAATGCGGCTCTTGTCCTTCTTGAGGCCACATAATGGCTTGCTCGATATCGATGTTTTGGCTGGGCTTTGTAGATGATGCCCGTTTCGTCCATGTTATAGACGTCTCAGGCTTCATAAAATCCCGTATCCACCAAGAGGCTTTCCTGACCGGTCTTGACTACGTTGGGCTCAACCGAAGCACTTTCGCCATGGAGGCGATGAACCCGGAAGTTGTGTCGCCATTGAAACTCGAAGAGCCATCCTTGGGAAGCGCTAAACTGGCTAATGCCAAGTTGAGCTGCGAGGCGAAGGGCTTTTTGGTTTAGGTTGGGTCGAGTAATGCACACATTACTGGCATATGCTGCGTCCACCCAAGTGGCCAATTTACTCTCGAGCTCGGGAAATTTTGGGGGCTTTAGATTGGATCGGCGGTGCATGGCCTTGTTTGCGATGTTGTACGACTTCATCTCTCTGGTGTCCTTCACTATACGCCCAACAGTGCTGGCGTGGATCAAACATCCAAATTTCTTGCTTGCCCAGTTCGCTAATTGGGGATATGTTACTGACCCTTTAGGTTGGCTTTCGAAGAAGGCTCGCAATGTATCTTTTTGTTGCAAGGTAAGCTTTTTACCACCTGATGGCATCACGGCTGTTTGGAACCAATTTTGAAATTCAAATCCCACCTCTTACAACTTCATACTTGACTTGCCTCATTTCATAGTGTATCAGATATGGACGCGTGCAAAAATGGGGGCATCACTGTAACGCTGAACTCGTGTTCCCAGCATAGAGATGTTATTGTGGCGGGAACATTCGGCAAAGTACTAACTACACACACGGTCTGTGTAACCTCACACTGCTTATGCAACGTTTAGTCCTTGTCACAACCACAACATGAAAGAAAGCAAATGAAATGACAAAAAGTTGAAGTATGTACTGCTCTGGTCAAAAATAGGTGCAGGGTACAACTTCCGATAGGTGGAATTTTTCTATATGCGTAGACGTTGTGGAAATACACCGGAGTGCCAAGCCAAAGGGTTCGAACCACCAGGTAACGGTCAGGGAGGTCAAGGTGGACGAGGTGTTGGAGGTCATCAAAGCCAGGCATAGAGCAGTGGAAGTACGACGCAACACCGCAGCTTCGATGGTAAAGGGTGTCCGAGCGCAGCGCCCTCTGGTCGTTGCAGAAGAGTTTGTACGCGTCGGCCCCAACTTCGTTGGAAAGGTGGAACTTGAACGTGTCGAGATGTTTGGTGTTGTTGAGTTTGGTTTCTTGGAACAGAGCGCATTGGGTTGGCGACTTGAGACGTTGAGCGACAAGGTGCCCGTTTGCGTTC